TAATGACATCTGGGTCACGTGACTCGTATCACCTGCCGGCTGGTGTGTTTGACAATGCCGGCATTATGCCGGCAGATGAAAGACGAAGGAACGAGTTCTTACATCTTAGCCTCGTCTTGCAGATCAAGGCATGCTCGCGTTGTAATTGTACACAACAAAGGCGGGGCGAGGCTTCGGCGTTGGCATGGTAACGCCAGTAAATTTGATGTTGTGTTATCTGGATGTGTCTATTCTTCGATTTTATTTGATACGTCCGTGACGCCGGAGTGGATTTTGTGGATTCCCGCCATTTCAATCTATTGAGGGGGGGGGGGGGGGGGTCTCTAGTTGGTCTACACATACACGTGCGTATGTATCAGGAACCGATATATATATATATATATATAGGGATATATATAGGGATATATATATATTAGGGATATATATATATATATATATATATATATATATATATATATATATATATATATATATATATATATATATGCAACTAACAGTAGCTAGACAATACGGATGTGCTGCCTCGTCGATTCCTTCCCCATGGCTACAACAACACAACGCGAGAACCGTCCAAAGATTTTCTTGAATGTTCGATTCTTAGTGTTTGTTTACTTTCACGCTAAAATGATTTTTAAAAAATGTTTTTATTTTCCTACCTAAAAACCCGGCTAATCCCCTAGCATTCATTACACGAGATTAAGCAAATGTTGATAATCTCTGGCGTGGGTAAATCATTTATTCCAGACATTTTAATCTGTAGCAGACGACATCCAATGGGATGTTAATGACGCTGGTCTATGTGCTGACTCCTATAGCTAGGCGTCAGTGACTCGAGAGATTTCACTCTATGCAGAGGCGTCACCCCATCTCAGATGGTGTCATAATGAGAGTGTCACTAATGTTGGTGTCACTAATTATAGTGTCACTTATGATGAACTAAAATTTGAAAAGCTATTAGACTAAAATCCGATTTTTATATTGAAATGACACAAATTATCCTTTTGATAAGAGTCACCAAACACTCAAAAACACAAACACACACAAACACACAAACACACAACACACTAGTCAGCATTTGTCTGTGTCCACGAACTAATTTATGGATGAATGTTTGGTCTGACCCAATCAGATCTAGTCACACCCTATTTAGCCAGCTCGACTAACTGGTCTATGGCAGAGGCGTAGCGACCCTTCCCGGCGCCCGGGGACATACTTTCAATTTGGCGCCCCCCTCGCCAGCAAATTTTCGATTTGCACCCCCCTCCTCGAACTTTTCATTTGCACCCCCCCTCAAACTTTCAATTTGGCGCCCCCCCCCCCCCTAAGGTCGGCACCCGGGGACATATGTCCCCCCCCGCCCCCCCCCCTCGCTACGCCTCTGGTCTATGGACGACCTAGCCACATCCTATTTAGCCAGCTCGACTAACTGGTCTATGTACGACATAGCCACATCCTATTTAGCCAGCTATTTAGCCAGCTCGACTAACTGGTCTATGGACGACCTAGCCACACCCTATTTAGCCAGCTATTTAGCTAGCTCGACTAACTGGTCTATGGACGACCTAGCCACATCCTATTTAGCCAGCTATTTAGCTAGCTCGACTAACTGGTCTATGGACGACCTAGCCACACCCTATTTAGCTAGCTCGACTAACTGGTCTATGGACGACCTAGCCACATCCTATTTAGCCAGCTATTTAGCTAGCTCGACTAACTGGTCTATGGACGACCTAGCCACATCCTATTTAGCCAGCTAGACTAACTGGTCTATGGACGACCTAGCCACATCCTATTTAGCCAGCTATTTAGCTAGCTCGACTAACTGGTCTATGGACGACCTAGCCACATCCTATTTAGCCAGCTATTTAGCTAGCTCGACTAACTGGTCTATGGACGACCTAGCCACATCCTATTTAGCCAGCTATTTAGCCAGCTAGACAAACTGGTCTATGTACGACCTAGCCACATCCTATTTAGCCAGCTATTTAGCTAGCTCGACTAACTGGTCTATGGACGACCTAGCCACATCCTATTTAGCCAGCTATTTAGCTAGCTCGACTGGTCTATGGACGACCTAGCCACATCCTATTTAGCCAGCTATTTAGCCAACTAGACTAACTGGTCTATGGACGACCTAGCCACATCCTATTTAGCCAGCTATTTAGCCAACTAGACTAACTGGTCTATGGACGACCTAGCCACATCCTATTTAGCCAGCTATTTAGCCAGTTCGACTAACTGGTCTATGGACGACCTACTTGACACAAGGCACTTTGTTATTTTATTGTACATATATTAATGAAATAAAACGGTAGTGATATCCCCTAAACTTTCTCGAATCTATATATATAATTCTTTTCTTGGAGACGTTAGAAAACACCCACCCCCACATGGTCTGGTGAGCTGTGGTTCCCGCTAAATGTTTACAATCGTAGAGCCGGGTTTAGCGATGAAAAACGTGGGGCGCCGAAGTAAAAGTTATATTACTATTGATTAGATAATACTATTGACTTTTATTAGGGAGCTTGTAGAGAGTCAACAGTATTAGAAACTGTAAGAAAATCACGGCGCCCCACCTTTTTCATCGCTTATAGTAGAGTGATCGCTTGCATTATTGTGATGTATAGTATTTATTTTCTACTTTTTAGTTCAATCAGAAAACGTGGGTTTTTTAAAACTTTTTTAATGATTATTATTTTCTACTTTTTAGTCTTTGTCTGTTTGTTTGCATTGAAATCTTGCTATCGATTTTATCTTTTCACTTTTTTTTGGGTAAACGAAGACAACTCGTAAAAAGACAACTCGTAAAAAACGAGAGACCCTTTCTTCTTCGGTCTCAATCGCAAGTGAATGATTGTCAGAGGTTAGTTGATAGCGGTTAGGACGAGGGCTGGTTACTGACTAGAACACATAGATTTGAACCCGTGTCGAGTGGGATAGCAATCGTGTGCCCAACCACTCGACCATATCGTCTCCCCCAAACTGGCCACCAGTGGTAATAGTTACCTCCTGTAAGTTTAAAGTCGGTTCAAACTAAATTATCTGCCCCTAAGCCTGTCGCGACGTGGGATCGTTTCGCGTCACTGCGCGCGGCAAGAGAGAGGCGAGCTACGCGTCGCTCGTTTTTTTTCTAATGGCTCGCAGAGGAGAATTATATATATAGATTATATAGCGGTCTAAAATGCTCAATAAAATGTTTCCATTGATCAATTTAGTAATAATAACAATTGAATATTCTATGGTCATCCAAAAGAAAGCTTCCCTGAAAATTTCAGCGCGCTAGCTAACTGGGAAGTGCCAGAAATTTCGATCGCAAGATTTGATTGGAAAAACAAACAGAGAAAGCAAGTTAAAGAAAACGTGGGAAAAATAGAATAGAATCTCGTGAACGCCAAATAAAATGTTTATAATAGTGCGGAATATTATTAGTACTTTATAAATTTACATGGGTTTTTTTTTTTTGAGAAATCGGAAATAGCCTAAATTACTACTTCCGGTCAACGGAAGTTACTAAAAATTTAAAAGAATGCAGAGAATTAGATCTTTTACTTATATGTGAAATTTCATTTATCTATCTGAAATAGTACTCAAGTTAAAGGCTTTTGAAAAATTGAAAGCAGAAAAAGTTCCACTTCCGGTTATCGGAAATCATTGAAAAGTTTATATGGATCTACAAATTTGATTTAATACTTACATATGAAAATCCATCAACCTAGCTGTAACGGTACACAAGTTATCCTGATTACACACAGACACACAGACATACGGACAAGATTGCAAAATTATGTTTTTCCGACTCAGGGAGGTGTAAAACGTCGAGATTTCTAAAAATCTCGATTTTGTGTTTTTCTCTATTTTTCGTATATACGTGAAAGTAAAAAAAAATACTCCCATTTTCATTATTCTACTGTACGGTGGTCCTCAACCCTTGATTACGTTTTCTAGAAACAATCCCACAATCACTTTATTCACACCACAAGCACTTTGTCACCACATAACTCTACAAACACCTTAATCACTCAATACCGTTTGCTTAAGTTATCACAAACACACATTTTATGCAAATATAAGGATAGGGTGCTGGGTTAGGGATAGGGATAGGGATAAGGTGCTGGGTTAGGGATAGGGTGCTGGGTTAGGGATAGGGTGCTGGGTTAGGGATAGGGTGCTGGGTTAGGGATAGGGTGCTGGGTTAAGGATAGGGTGATGGGTTAGGGATAGGGTGATGGGTTAGGGATAGGGTGATGGGTTAGGGATAGGGTGCTGGGTTAGGGATAGGGTGCTGGGTTAGGGATAGGGTGATGGGTTAGGGATAGGGTGATGGGTTAGGGATAGGGTGCTAGGTTAGGGATAGGGTGATGGGTTAGGGATAGGGTGCTAGGTTAGGGATAGGGTGCTGGGTTAGGGATAGGGTGATGGGTTAAGGATAGGGTGATGGGTTAGGGATAGGGTGATGGGTTAGGGATAGGGTGATGGGTTAGGGATAGGGTGATGGGTTAAGGATAGGGTGATGGGTTAGGGATAGGGATAGGGTGCTGGGTTAGGGATAGGGTGATGGGTTAGGGATAGGGTGCTGGGTTAGGGATAGGGTGCTGGGTTAGGGATAGGATGATGGGTTAGGGATAGGGTGATGGGTTAAGGATAGGGTGATGGGTTAGGGATAGGGTGATGGGTTAGGGATAGGGTGATGGGTTATGGATAGGGATAGGGTGCTGGGTTAGGGATAGGGTGATGGGTTTGGGATAGGGTGCTGGGTTAGGGATAGGGTGCTGGGTTAGGGATAGGATGATGGGTTAGGGATATGATGATGGGTTAGGGATAGGGTGATGGGTTAGGGATAGGCTGATGAAACAAACCAAAGTTGTAAAGCGGAAGTTGTAAAACGGAAGTTGTAAAACGGAAGTTATAAAACGGAAGTTGTAAAACGGAAGTTGTAAAACGGAAGTTGTAAAACGGAAGTTGTAAAACGGAAGTTGTAAAACGGAAGTTGTAAAACTGACCTGGGATGATCCAGAGAGAGAACCTCACCCAGCTGCTGGCAGGGAGATAAGCCAACATGAGCATGTTGCACGTGACGGCTAGCAGAGGCACGACGGGCACGTAGGGCGCCTTGAAGTACAGGGGCGTGGCGTTCTGGGGCTGGCGGGCCATGCACAGCCCCGCGGCCACCAGCAGGATCAGGCAGACACACAGCAGGGCCACAGCCCACCACGACGACTCGGCGGGCCACGCCCTGCAGGTGGCCGCTAGACAGGCGCTGGCCAGGATGTAGGTGAGCAGCAGGTAGCGCGCGTGCCGCCATGTGTGCTCGTCCGCCTGCTGCTGACCGCTGACCACTAGGCTGCTGCTCACGCTCGAGGTCAATGACCGGATTGTTCCGTTTAGAGTCAGCACGGTGCTCACGGCTTTCACGTGGTCCGTGACCTTCATGTGATCCGTGACCTTCATGTGATCCGTGACCTTCACGCCCTCCAGCACCCCTCCTCCCCCGTAGCTCCCCCCTCTCACGCCTCCCCCGCCCGGCACCCCTGTCCTTAAACTGTCTTTCTCTGTGAAGATCTCTTTGGCGGGGTTAGGGCTTTGCTTCTTGAACCTGTTGACAAAAGTCACCTGGGGCATAGGGGTGAAGGTCAAAGTGGAAGGGTCACTGAATGCTGGGTACGGTGAGCTCTGAGACTTGGTGAAGCTGGCCACTTTTTCCCCGAGTGGCCCGTCCACTTCCGGCCCGGGGCTGTAGAAGACGTCATCGTCCTGGGCCAGCTTGCAGCAGTCGCCGTTGGCCATCAGCACGAGCTTGGGCGTGCCCTCGCTGAACTCGTACGTGTCCTTCACCTCTAGCCCGTCATCGCAGGCCGAAGTCAGGTCAAGGTCAGAGTACTCTCTGCAAATTCCGACCGGAAGTGGCTGGTAGCGGATGAAGAGGATGATGATGGCGCTGGCGGCGAACTGGATGATGGTGGCGATGGAGGACATCTCGATCAGCTTGTTCAAGTCAAGGAACAGGGCGCACAACGCTAGGGCGCCGCCCGTCAGGAAGTGGGGGCACACGGGGACGCCATTGTAAGCTATTTTAGACAGGAGCTTGGGCAGCAGCTTGTCGGCAGACATGGAGTACATGACCCTGGTTGGGTGGACAAAGGACCCGATGACCACCGGAAGTAGCCCGATGACGGCGCCCGCCCCCACCACATAGTTGGCGGCAAATATCCCTTTGGTCTCGTAGGCTCTCGCCAGTGACGCGGAGTCACTGAGATTTTGCCAGGGGGAGGCAAGAGTCAGCGCTGACGTCACGAGGAAGAGGATGGTGAAGACGACAGCGAGGCTGAAGCCGAAGGCGGTGGGGAGGGACTTGCAGGGGGAGCGGCTCTCTTCGGCACAGGACGCCAGGTTGTCGACACTCGTGAATGACGACATGAGTAGGGCGGCGCCCGACATGATCTGACGAGAGAATGGTTGACTGAGGTACAGGATGACTTACAATAATAAAGTCATACAAGATAACTTGCAATAACAAAGTGATACAAGATGACTTGCAATAATAAAGTGATACAAGATGACTTGCACAAATAAAGTCATACAAGATGACTTACAAAACACATGCCATGACTGTACAGGATCACTTAAACATGACTCTAAACTAAGATGACTTAGACATGACTGTAACTAAGATGACTTAGACATGATTGTAACCAAGATGACTGAGACATGACTGTAACCAAGATGACTGAGACATGACTTTAAACAAGATGACTTAGACATTATTGTAACCAAGATGACTGAGACATGACTGTAACCAAGATGACTGAGACATGACTGTAACCAAGATGACTGAGACATGACTTTAAACAAGATGACTCAGACATGACTTTAAACAAGATGACTGAGACATGACTGTAACCAAGATGACTGACACATGACTTTAAACAAGATGACTCAGACATGACTTTAAACAAGATGACTTAGACATGATTGTAACTAAGATGACTGAGACATGACTGTAACTAAGATGACTGAGACATGACTGTAAATAAGATGACTTAGACATGACTGTAAAAAGGATGAATTAGAAATGACTGTAAACAATATGACTTAGACATGACTGTAACCAAGATGACTGAGACATGACTTTAAACAAGATGACTGAGACATGACTGTAAACAAGATGACTGAGACATGACTGTAACCAAGATGACTGAGACATGACTTTAACCAAGATGACTGAGACATGACTTTAACCAAGATGACTGAGACATGACTTTAACCAAGATGACTGAGACATGACTGTAACCAAGATGACTTAGATATGACTGTAACCAAGATGACTGAGACATGACTGAGACATGACTTTAAACAAGATGACTGAGACATGACTGTAAAAAGATGACTGAGACATGACTTTAAACAAGATGACTGAGACATGACTTTAAACAAGATGACTGAGACATGACTTTAAACAAGATGACTGAGACATGACTTTAAACAAGATGACTGAGACATGACTTTAAACAAGATGACTGAGACATGACTTTAAACAAGATGACTGAGACATGACTTTAAACAAGATGACTGAGACATGACTTTAAACAAGATGACTGAGATATGACTTTAAACAAGATGACTGAGACATGACTGTAACCAAGATGACTGAGACATGACTGAGACATGACTGAGACATGACTTAGACATGACTTACACCCCTAAAGCCGAAGGTGAAAAAGCCGGGCTCGGAGTTCCAGTTGTTGGCCTCGACGTGGAAGAAGCCGACACAGATGAAGGCCACTACAACCAGGCCACTCAGGGCCATCAGGACAAAGTTGACGATGGCGTATCTCTGTGGGGGGGGGGGGGGGGGGGACAGGCACATGACATTAGTGGTGGCATCTAGACATGACATTTGGTGATGGTATCTAGACATGACATTTGGTGATGGCATCTAGATTTGACATTTTATTCTTACATCTATAATAGAAATATAATGATGACATCTAGACATGGTATTTAATGATCACACCTATATTATATATATATATATATATATATATATATATATATATATATATATATATATATATATATATATATATATATATATATATATATAATAAAGACATACACATGACATCTCCGAGTGACATTTACTGTTTGTCAGTGACAATAAACATTTAATGAATTAATTAATGACTAGCCATATAAGGTAAAACGTGACACGACCTTGACCGTGATGAAGCTGAGGAAGATGGCGGCGATGACGATACAGCAGGGAAAGAAATCTGGCGTGGATTCGAATACGTTGTCTTGGCTCGATACGATACCTTGGCTCGATACGATACCTTGGCTCGAGTTCCTGGTGATAAAGTAGAATGTTAGTGTGGGTGAGGTGTGGGATGTTTGTATGGTGTTTGTGTGGTGAAGTGGGGTGTAGTGGGGTGTTTGTGTGGTGTAGTGTGGTGTTTAAGACAACGCCGGCCATTTTATTTACGTCCTATATCCTACAAATGGCAGGAGAGAAAAATTTGCATGTATGTAGATGAAAGAACCAATGAGACAGGCTGTTACATATTTTAACGAGCCAATGAGAGAGGCTGTTACATATTTGAACGAACAAATCAGAGAGACTTTAACATTTTCGAAAGTGCTGATATGACCTTGACCTACCCCTGTGCTGTGTAGTTGTACATATACTCCACATAGTGCCACATGGCCTTGGCCGCTATGGCCCCGCCCAGCACGTGCTCCAGCATGACGCTCCAGCCAATCACGAAGGCCAGCAGCTCGCCCAAGGTCACGTAGCAGAAGATGTAGCCGGTGCCAGAACGAGGCAGTCTGGTGGCGAGTTCCGTGTGGCACAGACCTGCAAGACAAGATGGGTCAAAGGTCACCTGGAGGTCACTAGACGGGACAAAGGTCACCTGGAGGTCATTAGACGGGACAAAGGTCACCTGGAGTTCACTAGACTGGTCAAAGGTCACCTGGAGGTTACTAGACGGGTGTGGTGGTGTATGGTGTGGGGTGGTGGGGGTGGCTGGTGTATGGTGTGGGGTGGTTGGGGTGGCTGGTGTATGGGGTGGTGGGGGTGGCTGGTGTATGCTGATGTGTGTCTGCATGTGTTTGGACGTGTATGCGACATCTGTGTGTGTGTAATGTGTGTGTGGGTAGCTGTGTGTAATGTGTGTGGAGCTTGATGTCGCTACAGTGTCGCCGGTTCAAAAGACCCTAGCCCGTCTCAAAGGAAAAGCCATGTTTTGTGTTCTCGCGTCAAAGGAAAAGCCATGTTTTGTGTTCTCGCGTCAAAGGAAAAGCCATGTTTTGAGGTTATGAAAGGCCGCACCAATTGACCCCACTTGATTACAATTCCAATCAGTGACGTCACCACAGGAAATGATACAAGTAAAACATGGTCATTAATGACGTCATTAATGAGTTTTTAAGTCCAGTTCTCAAAGTTTTTTTTTATTTATAATAAGTTGCGGATCAAATTGTTTAAGAAAATGGAAATCAGTCACACACACACACACGCGCACACACAAACACACATACGCACAAACACACACACACGCACTCACAAAAACCCCATAAGTCATACAAGTACTCACACTTTCGTTCACATACTTACACACATAATCACACACACATCCACATCCACTCATACATGTAACACAAGCCTTGCTCTAACTCATACCCTACCCGCCACACCCTCAACAACCACTCCCCCCCCCCGCACACATACACGAATCATCCAACACTCATGGAAGCATCCCCCACACCCCAGGACGCCATAGTGGTGAAAACTGCAACAATGGGCCGACAACTCGAGGTAAACATGGGGATAAAAACATGATTAGAGATTAAACGCCTTTATTGTTGAGTACATGTCCACGTGATAGGCATCCAATTAGTTGTAGGGTAGCACAATTTAGGTCAGGTAGCCACGCCTATCATGGCTTTAGGTAGCACAATTTAGGTCAGGTAGCCACGCCTATCATGGCTTTAGGCTTAGGTAGCACAATTTAGGTCAGGTAGCCACGCTTGAATACGGCTTAAGGTAGCACAATTTAGGTCAGGTAGCCACGGCTATCATGGCTTTAGGTAGCACAATTTAGGTCAGGTAGCCACGGCTATCATGGCTTTAGGTAGCACAATTTAGGTCAGGTAGCCACGGCTCTCATGGCTTTAGGTAGCACAATTTAGGGCGGGTAGCCACGGCTATCATGGCTTTAGGTAGCACACTTTAGGACAGGTAGCCACGGCTATCATGGCTTAAGTTAGCACAATTTAGGACGGGTAGCCGCCTATCATGGCTTTAGGTAGCACAATTTAGGTCAGGTAGCCACGACTATCATGGCTTTAGGTAGCACAATTTAGGTCAGGTAGCCACGCTTGAATACGGCTTTAGGTAGCACAATTTAGGTCAGGTAGCCACGGCTATCATGGCTTAAGTTAGCACAATTTAGGTCAGGTAGCCACGACTATCATGGCTTTAGGTAGCACAATTTAGGTCAGGTAGCCACGCTTGAATACGGCTTTAGGTAGCACAATTTAGGTCAGGTAGCCACGGCTATCATGGCTTTAGGTAGCACAATTTAGGTCAGGTAGCCACGACTATCATGGCTTTAGGTAGCACACTTTAGGGTATACAGCCACGCCTATCATGGCTTTAGGTAGCACAATTTAGGTCAGGTAGCCACGCTTGAATACGGCTTTAGGTAGCACACTTTAGGTCAGGTAGCCACGCCTATCATGGCTTTAGGTAGCACACTTTAGGGTATACAGCCACGCCTATCATGGCTTTAGGTAGCACAATTTAGGTCAGGTAGCCACGGCTCTCATAGCCCCAGCTACAGTAGTAAACCTTGTTGTCTGACCAAACGATGTAGCGCAGCCAATTCTTCCTCCCTACAAACTTGGCGAGTTTTATAACTTGACCCTTGACATCAGCCAAACTTAGCGAGTTTTGTAACTTGACCCTTGACATCAGCCTAACTTAGCGAGTTTTGTAACTTGACCCTTGACATCAGCCAAACTTGTCGAGTTTTGTAACTTGACACTTGACATCAGCCAAACTTAGCGAGTTTTGTAACTTGACCCTTGACATCAGCCAAACTTGTCGAGTTTTGTAACTTGACCCTTGACATCAGCCAAACTTGTCGAGTTTTGTAACTTGACACTTGGCATCAGCCAAACTTGTCGAGTTTTGTAACTTGACACTTGGCATCAGCCAAACTTGCCAGTACAGACTTGACACTGGGCGTAACTTGCCGTGAACTGACAGACACCAGGGGTGGATAGAGATCGATCTTCTCTAGAGTTCGATACCCAATCGATGATCCCCTCAGTCAAAGGTAAAAATAAAAACGGGAATATCCAGAAAAGTGAAGGCTAGGACCGAGAGGACAACACGACGCCAGGGTTGTTACTGTTGTAAGAGATTAGGTCCCCTAGAGGACGGGGTCCTTGGGTCCCTTAGAGGACGGGGTCCTTGAGTCCCTTAGTCCCTTAGAGGACTGGGTCCTTGAGTCCCTTAGAGGACTGGGTCCCTTAGTCCCTTAGAGGACTGGGTCCTTGAGTCCCTTAGTCCCTTAGAGGACTGGGTCCTTGAGTCCCTTAGAGGACTGGGTCCTTGAGTCCCTTAGAGGACCGGGTCCTTGAGTCCCTTAGATGACTGGGTCCTTGAGTCCCTTAGAGGACTGGATCCTTGAATCCCTTAGACGACGGGGTCCTTGAGTCCCTTAGATGACTGGGTCCTTGAGTCCCTTAGTCCCTTAGAGGACGGGGTACTTGAGTCCCTTAGAGGACTGGGTCCTTGAGTCCCTTAGATGACAGGGTCCTTGAGTCCCTTAGATGACTGGATCCTTGAGTCCCTTAGTCCCTTAGAGGACGGGGTACTTGAGTCCCTTAGAGGACTGGGTCCTTGAGTCCCTTAGACGACAGGGTCCTTGAGTCCCTTAGATGACTGGATCCTTGAGTCCCCTAGAGGACTGGGTACTTGAGTCCCTTAGTGGACGGGGTACTTGAGTCCCTTAGAGGACTGGGTACTTGAGTCCCTGAGTGGACGGGGTACTTGAGTCCCTTAGAGGACGGGGTACTTGAGTCCCTTAGAGGACGGGGTACTTGAGTCCCTTAGTCCCTTAGAGGACGGGGTACTTGAGTCCCTGAGTGGACGGGGTACTTGAGTCCCTTAGTGGACGGGGTACTTGAGTCCCTTAGAGGACGGGGTACTTGAGTCCCTTAGAGGACTGGGTACTTGAGTTTCTTAGAGGACTGGGTACTTGAGTCCCTTAGAGGACGGGGTACTTGAGTCCCTTAGTGGACGGGGTACTTGAGTCCCTTAGAGGACGGGGTACTTGAGTCCCTTAGAGGACGGGGTACTTGAGTCCCTTAGTGGACGGGGTACTTGAGTCCCTTAGTGGACGGGGTACTTGAGTCCCTTAGAGGACGGGGTACTTGAGTCCCTTAGTGGACGGGGTACTTGAGTCCCTTAGTGGACGGGGTACTTGAGTCCCTTAGAGGACGGGGTACTTGAGTCCCTTATTCCCTTAGAGGACGGGGTACTTGAGTCCCTTAGTCCCTTAGAGGACTGGGTCCGTCTTACACTTCCGTGCTAAAAAGACGGCTAAAAATGAACGGGACGTTTTGATGTGCTGACCAAGTTTTATCAGGGCCGGTCTAGAAGTCTGATAAGGGGTGTGGGTGGTGATAGTGGGTGGGGGAGGGGGGAGAAATGATTAGAATTCCCGGGGGATCTCAAATAAGGATTTAGTCCACTCGTCGGTCAATCAAAGATGGCAAAGTCAATACCCGCCCCGCGCCGGCGGAATTTAAAATTAGATTACTACGGCAGCCGGCAGCCGGCTTGATTGGCTAGGGCTGTTGGCCGGTTAACTATGGCTGGGTAAATAGCGAGCAGCTGTTTCACGTGGTGATACAGTCATATGGGTGGTGACACAGTTCAGATCGTGGTGACTGCACGGTGATAGACAGGTGGTGACACAATTAGACAGGTGGTGACAAAGTTAGACAGGTGGTGACACAGTTTAGATCGTGGTGATTGCACGGTGATAGACAGGTGGTGACACAGACAGGTGGTGACACAATTAGACAAGTGGTGACACAATTAGACAGGTGGTGACACAGTTCAGATCGTGGTGACTTCACTGTGGTGATACACTTAGACATGTGGTGATACAGTTGGACTGACAGGTGGTGACACACTTAGACAAGACATATGCTGATACAGCAAGACAGGTGGTGACTAGATAAGGGAGGTCGTGTGATGGAGCCCCCCCCCCCCCCCGCCAGGTAACTGGTGTTGTGTCAGGTGACTTGTGACACCAAGTCACGTGACAACCGACGAGTGGCAGGTGACAGGTGATTTTTGTATTCTCAATCATGACGTCACACTAGAGAACATCATGGGCCGCATTTCATGGCTCCAACAGCTGCAAGCAGGAGCCGGCCTTGTGCGGCCCACACGGCTCCAACAGTCACGTGACGAAGCTCAACAGCACGGGATCAGCTGACCGGAAGTTGGTAGGCTCACGCGACATGTGATACAATGACGTCATACAGTTTAGTGTTGCCGCTCATCCACCACCACAATCCACTGCCAGAATGGAAACAAACAGCACAATACCAGAACTCACGGATACATCCGCGCAGAGGCGTAGCGAGGGGGGGGGGGCGGGGGGCGGGGGTGCGTACCGCACCGGGTGACACCATTTATGGGGGTGGCACCAAGGCAAAAAATAGCAAAATATATAGAGAAAAACTTGAAAGTTTGTCCCCGGGATAAACTGACTACTTTAAAGGCTAGAACCTACCTGAGAGGAGAGCAGCCAAACTTTAAAGGCTAGAACCTACCTGAGAGGAGAGCAGCCAAACTTTAAAGGCTAGAACCTACCTGAGAGGAGAGCAGCCAAACTTTAAAGGCTAGAACCTACCTGAGAGGAGAGCAGCCAAACTTTAAAGGCTAGAACCTACCTGAGAGGAGAGCAGCCAAACTGGCAACTTTAAAGGCTAGAACCTACCTGAGAGGAGAGCAGCCAAACTGGCAACTTTAAAGGCTAGAACCTACCTGAGAGGAGAGCAGCCAAACTGGCAACTTTAAAGGCTAGAACCTACCTGAGAGGAGAGCAGCCAAACTGGCAACTTTAAAGGCTAGAACCTACCTGAGAGGAGAGCAGCCAAACTTTAAAGGCTAGAACCTACCTGAGAGGAGAGCAGCCAAACTTTAAAGGCTAGAACCCACCTGAGAGGAGAGCAGCCAAACTGGCAACTTTAAAGGCTAGAACCTACCTGAGAGGAGAGCAGCCAAACTGGCAACTTAAAAGGCTAGAACCTACCTGAGAGGAGAGCAGCCAAACTGGCAACTTTAAAGGCTAGAACCTACCTGAGAGGAGAGCAGCCAAACTTTAAAGGCTAGAACCTACCTGAGAGGAGAGCAGCCAAACTGGCAACTTTAAAGGCTAGAACCTACCTGAGAGGAGAGCAGCCAAACTGGCAACTTTAAAGGCTAGAACCTACCTGAGAGGAGAGCAGCCAAACTGGCAACTTTAAAGGCTAGAACCTACCTGAGAGGAGAGCAGCCAAACTTTAAAGGCTAGAACCTACCTGAGAGGAGAGCAGCCAAACTGGCAACTTAAAAGGCTAGAACCTACCTGAGAGGAGAGCAGCCAAACTGGCAACTTTAAAGGCTAGAACCTACCTGAGAGGAGAGCAGCCAAACTTTAAAGGCTAGAACCTACCTGAGAGGAGAGCAGCCAAACTGACAACTTTAAAGGCTAGAACCTACCTGAGAGGAGAGCAGCCAAACTGGCAACTTTAAAGGCTAGAACCTACCTGAGAGGAGAGCAGCCAAACTGACAACTTTAAAGGCTAGAACCTACCTGAGAGGAGAGCAGCCAAACTTTAAAGGCTAGAACCTACCTGAGAGGAGAGCAGCCAAACTGGCAACTTTAAAGGCTAGAACCTACCTGAGAGGAGAGCAGCCAAACTGGCAACTTTAAAGGCTAGAACCTACCTGAGAGGAGAGCAGCCAAACTTTAAAGGCTAGAACCTACCTGAGAGAAGAGCAGCCAAACTGACAACTTTAAAGGCTAGAACCTACCTGAGAGGAGAGCAGCCAAACTTTAAAGGCTAGAACCTGCCTGAGAGGAGAGCAGCCAAACTTTAAAGGCTAGAACCCACCTGAGAGGAGAGCAGCCAAACTTTAAAGGCTAGAACCTACCTGAGAGGAGAGCAGCCAAACTTTAAAGGCTAGAACCTACCTGAGAGGAGAGCAGCCAAACTGGCAACTTTAGTGGCTAGAACCTACCTGAGAGGAGAGCAGCCAAACTGGCAACCAGCACAGACAGGACAACAGCCGGCCCCGCCTCTCTCCTGGCCACATGGGATGACGTCACGAACACGCCCAGACCGGCGCAGCTCCCGATACCTGGGGACAAGTCACGTGATAAGGTATGAGACATCCGGTCACAACATTGACACCTGGTCATACAACATAGACACCTGGTCTATCATACAACATTGACACTTGGTCTATCATACAACATTGACACCTGGTCTATCATACAACATAGACACCTGGTCATACAACATTGACACCTGGTCATACAACATTGACACCTGGTCTATCATACAACATTGACACCTGGTCTATCATACAACATAGACACTTGGTCTATCATACAACATTGACACCTGGTCTATCATACAACATTGACACCTGGTCTATGATCAAACTTACAATATTCGCTTGAGCGAGATATCTTGATTTAAATGTCAAATTTATTTCAGATGTCACATGTCATCAGATGTCACATGTAATGTGATGTCGCCAAATGTCACAATAAATCAGATGTTGGATGTAATCAGATGTCACATGTCATCAGATGTCACATGTCACCAATTGTCACAATAAATCATATGTCACATGTAATCATATGTCACAGCTTGACACACTAACCCTAACCCCACGCTAACCCATCAGACTGATGACGTCCCCCCCCCCCCCATCAGACTTTGATGACGTCCCCCCCCCATCAGACTTTGATGACGTCCCCCCCCCCATCAGACTTTGATGACGTCCCCCTCATCAGACTTTGATGACGTCCCCCCCATCAGACTTTGATGACGTCCCCCCCCATCAGACTTTGATGACGTCCCCCCCCCCACTCAGACTTTGATGACGTCCCCCCCCACTCAGACTATGATGACGTCCCCCCCCATCAGACTTTGATGACGTCCCCCCCCACTCAGACTTTGATGACGTCCCCCCCCCCATCAGACTTTGATGACGTCCCCCCCACTCAGACTTTGATGACGTCCCCCCCCATCAGACTTTGATGACGTCCCCCCTCCATCAGACTTTGATGACGTCCCCCCCCCCCCATCAGACTTTGATGACGTCCCCCCATCAGACTTTGATGACGTCCCCCCCATCAGGCTTTGATGACGTCCCCCCCCCCCATCAGACTTTGATGACGTCCCCCCCCACTCAGACTTTGATGACGTCCCCCCCCATCAGACTTTGATGACGTCCCCCCTCCATCAGACTTTGATGACGTCCCCCCCCCCATCAGACTTTGATGACGTCCCCCCCATCAGACTTTGATGACGTCCCCCCCATCAGACTTTGATGACGTCCCCTCCATCAGACTTTGATGACGTCCCCCCCCCCCATCAGACTTTGATGACGTCCCCCCCACTCAGACTTTGATGACGTCCCCCCCCCATCAGACTTTGATGACGTCCCCCCTCCATCAGACTTTGATGACGTCCCCCCCCCCCATCAGACTTTGATGACGTCCCCCCCATCAGACTTTGATGACGTCCCCCCCCATCAGACTTTGATGACGTCCCCCCCACTCAGACTTTGATGACGTTTCCCCCCCCCCCCCATCAGACTTTGATGACGTCCCCCCCCCCCCATCAGGCTTTGATGACGTCCCCCCCATCAGCCTTTGATGACGTCCCCCCCCATCAGACTTTGATGACGTCCCCCCCACTCAGACTTTGATGACGTCCCCCCCCCATCAGACTTTGATGACGTCCCCCCCACTCAGACTTTGATGACGTCCCCCCCCACTCAGACTTTGATGACGTCCCCCCCCCATCAGACTTTGATGACGTCCCCCCCCCCACTCAGACTTTGATGACGTCCCCCCCATCAGACTTTGATGACGTCCCCCCCACTCAGACTTTGATGACGTCCCCCCCCCCATCAGACTTTGATGACGTCCCCCCCATCAGACTTTGATGACGTCCCCCCCCCATCAGACTTTGATGACGTCCCCCCAACTCAGACTTTGATGACGTCCCCCCCATCAGACTTTGATGACGTCCCCCTCCATCAGACTTTGATGACGTCCCCCCCCCCCATCAGACTTTGATGACGTCCCCCCCATCAGACTTTGATGACGTCCCCCCCCATCAGACTTTGATGACGTCCCCCCATCAGACTTTGATGACGTCCCCCCCATCAGGCTTTGATGACGTCCCCCCCATCAGACTTTGATGACGTCCCCCCCCATCAGACTTTGATGACGTCCCCCCCCACTCAGACTTTGATGACGTCCCCCCCCATCAGACTTTGATGACGTCCCCCCCCCATCAGACTTTGATGACGCCCCCCCATCAGACTTTGATGACGTCCCCCCCATCAGACTTTGATGACGTCCCCCCCCCCATCAGACTTTGATGACGTCCCCCCCCCCCCCCATCAGACTTTGATGACGTCCCCCCCCCATCAGACTTTGATGACGACCCCCCCCCTCCACTCAGACTTTGATGACGTCCCCCCCCCCATCAGACGTTCAAAGCTCCGATCTACCACTGACGCCTGAGTTGATTTCCGCCCGCCCGGAACATTCTCTCAACCAGCGGAAGTGACGTGAGGCGGAGCATGCGCAGCTGTCGGCTGATAGCCAATCAAAGGTGGGCTCGAGGTTTAATTACAATGGAAATAGGTAACACGGGGTGGGGTGGGGGTGGGGGACACATAGGGCGCGTGTGTGTGTGTGAGGGGGGGGGGGCGGGAGCCTCGTATGAGTTGGGGGGAAGGGCCTAGTGGGGGGGGGGGGAACAAGGTCTCGTTACAGTCAGCTTTACAGTCAATTTTACAGTCCGCTTTACACTTATAATCGTGACTTTTAACAATGAAACTAGTTACTTTCTCGTATATACGAAGTATAGAAAAAGTATTGTAATCGTGCAAAAAAAAAAATCGAGATTTTTACAAATCTCGACGTTTTACACCTCACTGATACGGAAAAACATAATTTTGCAATCTTGTCCGTATGTCTGTGTGTCTGTCTGTGTGTCTGTCTGTCTGTGTGTGTGTGTAAACACGATAACTTGAGTACCGTTACAGCTAGGTTGATGAAATTGCATATATAAGTATTTTATCAAAATCGTAATTTGTATCAACTTTTGAGCGATTTCCGATAACCGGAAGTGGTACTTTTCCTACTTTGAAATTTTCAAAAGCCTATAACTTGAGTACTATTTCAGATAGATAAACGAAATTTCACATGTAAGTAAAAGATCTAATTCTCTACCTTCTGTTAAATTTTGAGTCATTTCCGTTGAACGGAAGTAGTAATTTATGCTACTTCCGATCTCTCAAAAAACTAATGTAAATTTTTAAAGTACTAATAATATTGCGCACTATTATGCACTTTTTTATTTAGCGTTCATTTGGTGTGCAATTCTTTTGTCTATGAGATTTTATTCTATTTTTAAAACTTAAAGTATTTAAAATGGATTAAAAATCATGTCTATAGCACGAGTTTCCATCCCCCGTTATTTTATATAAGAATATTCGAGAAAGTTTAGGGGAGATACCTCCCGGTTTATTTGATTAGAAATACAAATTGAGTAATTAATTGGACTTAACGCCAGCTGAAAAAGTGGTTTAACTCTCAGTCGGAAACTGGTCTGTAGGTCAAATAATGACAGTTGGAGTCATGTGGGTGGTGCTAACTGGAGTCATGTGGGTGGGCTAACTGGAGGCATGTGGGTGGGCTAACTGGAGTCATGTGGGTGGGCTAACTGGAGTCATGTGGGTGGGCTAACTGGAGGCATGTGGGTGGGCTAACTGGAGTCATGTGGGTGGGCTAACTGGAGTCATGTGGGTAGCGCTAACTGGAGTCATGGAGTCATGTGGGTGGTGCTAACTGGAGTCATGTGGGTGGTGCTAACTGGAGTCATGGAGTCATGTGGGTGGTGCTAACTGGAGTCATGTGTGTGGGCTAACTGGAGTAATGTGGGTGGTGCTAACTGGAGTCATGGAGTCATGTGGGTGGTGCTAACTGGAGTCATGGAGTCATGTGGGTGGTGCTAACTGGAGTCATGGAGTCATGTGGGTGGTGCTAACTGGAGTCATGGAGTCATGTGGGTGGTGCTAACTGGAGTCATGGTGTCATGTGGGTGGTGCTAACTGGAGTCATGTGGGTGGTGCTAACTGGAGTCATGTTGGTGGTGCTAACTGGAGTCATGGAGTCATGGTGGCTGGTGCTAACTGGAGTCATGTGGGTGGTGCTAACTGGAGTCATGTGGGTGGTGCTAACTGGAGTCATGTGGGTGGTGCTAACTGGAGTCGTGTGTGTGGTGCTAACTGGAGTCATGTGGGTGGTGCTAACTGGAGTCATGGAGTCATGTGGGTGGTGCTAACTGGAGTCATGGAGTCATGTGGGTGGTGCTAACTGGAGTCATGGAGTCATGTGGGTGGTGCTAACTGGAGTCATGGAGTCATGTGGGTGGTGCTAACTGGAGTCATGGAGTCATGTGGGTGGTGCTAACTGGAGTCATGTGTGTGGTGCTAACTGGAGTCATGTGGGTGGTGCTAATTGGAGTCATGTGGGTGGTGCTAACTGGAGTCATGGAGTCATGTGGGTGGTGCTAACTGGAGTCATGGAGTCATGTGGGTGGTGCTAACTGGAGTCATGGAGTCATGTGGGTGGTGCTAACTGGAGTCATGGAGTCATGTGGGTGGTGCTAACTGGAGTCATGTGGGTGGTGCTAACTGGAGTCATGGAGTCATGTGGGTGGGCTAATTGGAGTCATGTGGGTGGTGCTAACTGGAGTCATGGAGTCATGGTGGCTGGTGCTAACTGGAGTCATGTGGGTGGTGCTAACTGGAGTCATGGAGTCATGGTGGCTGGTGCTAATTGGAGTCATGTGGGTGGTGCTAACTGGAGTCATGTGGGTGGTGCTAACTGGAGTCATGGAGTCATGTGGGTGGTGCTAATTGGAGTCATGTGGGTGGTGCTAACTGGAGTCATGGAGTCATGGTGGCTGGTGCTAACTGGAGTCATGTGGGTGGTGCTAACTGGAGTCATGTGGGTGGTGCTAACTGGAGTCATGTGGGTGGTGCTAACTGGAGTCATGGAGTCATGTGGGTGGTGCTAATTGGAGTCATGTGGGTGGTGCTAA